GATTGTAAGCATGGCAATGAGACGATATACAATAGAATGAATGTAAAACTAATGTTCTCCCATGTAAACTATCACATAAAACATTTAAGAAAAAAACAAAACAAAAAAACAGTCTAGTACTGGTACAATGAAAGATACATAGATCAATGGAACAGCATTGAGAATCCAGAAATTAACCCATTCACATACAGCCAGCTGATCTTTGCCTCAAATGTATCAAAGATTGTGAAGTTAGTCCAGGACTGGGCAGTGTTTCATTGTGTTGTGCATACAGTTGCTATGAATCGGTGCTGACTCGATGGCACCTAACAACAAAACAGTGAGGACAGAATGCTGAATAATGCAGAAAGCATTAAAAGATAATTCAAAAATTGTTGCAACAGTGCATTGACAGGGAACTGTCAGAAAATCAAATTGGATTCCGAAGAGGATGTAGAAAAACTGATATCATTGCTGACATCATGTGGATTTTGACTGAAAGCAGAGTACCAGAAAGAATGGCTATACACAGACTTTTGACTGTGTGGATCATGACAAACTATGGGTAACATTGCAGAGTATTCTGGAACGCTTAATTGTGTTCATAAGGAGCCTGCACATAAACCAAGAAGCAGTTGTTCAAACAAAACAAGGGGATACCACATGGTTTTAAATCAGGAAAAGTGTGTACCATGGGTTATATTCTTTCACCATACTATCCAATCTGTATGATGAGCAAATAACCTAAGAAACTGGATTATATGAAGAAGAATGTGGCATCGGGATTGGAGAAAGACTCATTAACAAGTTGTGATATGCAGATGATACAACCTTGTTGGAGAAGTGAATAGAACTTAAAATACTCATGAAGATCAAAGACCAAAGTCTTCAGTATGAGTTGCATCTCAATGTAAAGAAAACACAAATCCTCACAATTTGACCAATAAATATCATTATGGTAAGTAGAGAAAAGATTAACGTTGTCAAAAACTTTCATTTTGCTTGAATTCATAATTAGTACTAATGGAAGCAGCAGTCAAGCAGTCAAATGATACAAGAAGAGGGAGCTTTGCAGAATGATGGACAGGTGAAGACAGGGGAAGGTATGTAAGGATTAAGGGGACAGAGGTAAACTGTCAACAATGTTCTTTGGGTAGATACATGGGCAAATACACAGGCTGAATGGGTATAGAGGAAGAGTGGGATATATATATTGTCCTGATGTGGTACTGTGGGTTAATGCGCTGGACTTCAAGGTCAGTTTGAACAGCAAGGCCAATGGTTCAAGCTCCTTGGAACTGACTCGACAGCACTCAACAACATTTATCTATATATCTGTTTCTATATATAGAGAGAGTGAATTAGTCCTGGTGTGGCAGTGTAGAATAAGCACTAGACTGCAAGATCAGTTTGAATCACAAGGTAGGAGGTTCAAACTCAACAGCTGCTCCTCGGAAACCCTATACCGGGTCGCTATGAATTGGAACCCACTCGATGGCACTTAACAACAACAACATATATTTATATAGCCCACTTACATATAAGAGTTTGAAAGAAGATATTGGTACATGGGTATTTACCTTTCCTGAAAACACAACTAAGAATGCTGTGGCACATACAGTGGGCAAAATGATGAAAAGTTCTTAGATATTATCACACGTTAAGGCAATGAGTTGCTGGGCCTGGGGGCTCAGAACGATAGTCTCAGTGGACACCATGGTCCAGAGCACAGTCCACAAAGACAATGTTCTACATTCTACTTTGGTTAGTAGCATATGGGATCTTAAAAGGTCTTGTGTGGCCATCTAAGGTGTAGCTATTGCTCTCTCCATGTGTAGAAAAATGAAGAGTCTTGAGACTTGAAGAGACTTGGAATCACTTGGTCCAATGTACTAATGGAACATATAAGTCTCCATGACTCTGAGACCAGAAAAACTAGATGATGCCCAGCTACCACTACCAACTGCTGTAAAAGGGATCACATTAGAAGGTCCCAGATGGAGTGGAAGAAAATGTAGAACAAAACTCAAAATTATTTAAAAGATCAGGCTTACTGGTCAGAAAGAAACTGGAGGAACCTGAGACTATGGTCCTTGACCACCCTTCAGGTCTGGAAAGGAACTCACCCTCGTGTCCCAACTTTTAGCCAAGCAGAAGTTAGGTATATAGGGGGAACAAAAGCATTAGTAAGGTAAGCTCACCATGGAATGGTCAGTCATTCAGAATCAAAAGGGCAACATTTACCAAAAGACAAAGTTGAGAAGTGATGGGAAGGTGGGTGGAATGGAAATAGGATATACAGGGAGGAAGCGGGATAACTGTTGTTGCATTGAAGGGATTGCAATCATCTGACATGAAACAATGTATGTAATTTGTTTAATGTAAAACTGATGATCTTGTTTGTAAACCTTAATTCACAAGATCGCTTTAAAATGTTCAAGAGCAAAGTTATTTGTTTGAGGACTAAGATGAGCCTGACTGTGTTAGGCTGGGTTCTCCAGTGAAGCAAAACCAGTGAAACATATATGTATAGAGATATAAAAAGAGAAGTTTATATCAAGGAAGTGGCTTTACACAATTGTAGAGTTCCAAGTCACCAGTGGAAAAGAGAGCAGGGTTTTCCTGCATGTTGATTATATTCTGAGTAGGCCACACCATCAAGGAAACATCCTTTTAATTGATTAACTGCCCACAGCCAATCATCACAGAGTTAACTATGCAAGGTTTCACCATGGGGCTAACCGCATCTTAACTGACAAACCACTGGGAATAGCTTGGTCAAACTGACGCAAAACCTTAACTAACACACTACCCCAAGCCATGGTATTTTCAACAATCTCATATTCATGTGAAAGGTGGACAATGAAAAAGGAAGACTGTAGACGAACTGATTTATGAATTTGAATTATGGTGTTGGAAAAGAATATTAAAAGTGTCATGGAATACCATAATAAATCTGTCTTCGAGCAAGTACAAACAGAATGCTCCTTAGAAACCAGGATGGCCAAGACTTCAGCTTTCATACTTTGGATATGTTATCAGGCAGGACCTGTCCCTAGAGAAGGACATCATGCTTGATAGAGTAGAGAGTAAGCAAAACAGAGGGCAACCCCTAATGAGATGGACTAGCACGGTGGTAGCAGCAATGAGCTCAAGCATAGCAACAATTATGAGAATGGTGCAGCACTGGGCAGTGTAACTCGGTTGAGCATAGGGTCAGTATGAGTTGTAGCCGACTGGACACCACTTAAAAACAATTCCTAGTTTGGAGCATTTAGGTTGCTACAACAGTGCAGCAATCCCTGTTTTTATATCCTTGGGAGGAATTCAATTAGTAGGGATAAATGTTCATTCAATGAACTGATGTGTCAGTAGGTTCGACCATGTTTCTAACGGCCACTTCTAGGCAACCCTTTTTACAATCCCCTCAACCAGTGGTGTTCTCATTCTTCTTAATATCTGTCAATCTGTTCAATAAAAAATGGCATTGCACTGATATTTTAACTTGTATTTACATGACTGTCAGCAATGATGAGGGATTGGTGTGGAGAAGGAGGAATAACATCCCCACTGTAATATGCACAGAAGCTCTTACCCTTGGATCAGTATCTTCCTCTTCTTCATCAGGGTTATAGGACTCAGCACAGACTAAATTGGAAGAAAAGAAAAAGAAGAAAATGAATGAAACATATGTGGCTTTTTACTGGAAAAAATAAGTGAACACAATTTCCTTTTATTCACTGTTTTCTTCAGAAGGGTGTTAAGATCTTTTTTTTTTTTTAAGGTTTTTATTGCGGATTGAGTGAAAGTTTTCAGGGCACATCATTGGTTTCACATTCACACATTCATATACCTTGTTTCATTACATTGATTATAATCCCCTCCACATACTATCAGTTAACAGAGTTTCTCTCTAGCCTCTTTAGCTTTTTTTTTTTGGGAAAAACTTTGCCTTTTTGGAATTTACAGTCTCAGCTTTTAGGGAAGATTTTTACATTTATCTGTGGGTATCCAGGGCTCATGTATGGAATTACTAACCAGCATAACGGAATAATCAGATAAGGGACATTTTGCTATGTCTGCTAGGTGGCTAAAGTCTGATCCTCAGAGCCTATGGTTTGGACGGTCAGCAACGCTTGGGCCCACAGGGACTTGAACTCCTGACCGGGTCTGCATGGTCTACATCAGATTCCCCCTTATTTATTATTTGTTTAAGGGGGAAAGGTGTTAAGATCTTTTAAAATTCCTTTTTCAATTAGCAAATATATTAAATATCCACTAGTGCTAGGCATTCTTTTAAGGGATGAAAATCCAGCTCTTATTTGAAATCTCAAATAAGAGAGACAAAATGAAATATGTCACCAACTAAATTCTGTGACAGAGGCAAGGTCAAACAAATAGATGTTACCTCTGTAGAGGTAAAAAAATGTAAAGAAAGCAACAAGGAAAGGATAAAACCAAAATCAACAAAACTATTTTCCTAGAGTGAAGGTAAAAACAAGAAAGAAGGAATAGTGAAGAGAATGAAACTTCTCTAAAGAAATATAATTTTGATGTTTTAAAAACCCCTTGCCTTTGACTGTTTACAACTCACAGAAACCCTATTAGAACAGAGTAGAACTGTCCCATGTGTTGCTCTTCAATAAGCACTGGACTGCTAACCACAAGGTCAGCAGTTGAAATGCAGAGTTGTTATTAAGTGCCATCGAATTGGTTCTGACCCATAGTGACCCTGTATAGGGTTTCTGAGGAGCAGCTGGTGAGCTTGCACTACCAACCTTGAGGTTCAAATCAACTTTGCAGTCCAGCATATTAACCCACACCACCACATCAGGGCTCCTCAAATTCACTTCTTGTTGTTGTTAAGTGCCGTAGAGTCAATTCCAACCCATAGCGACCTGGTATAGGGTTTCCAAGGAGCAACTGGTGAGCTTGAACTGCCAATCTTGCAGTTCAAATGACTTTGCGCTCTGGCACATTAACCCATAGCGCCACACCAGGATTTCCCACTAGCCACTCTCAGAAACCCTATGCAGGGTCACTGTGAGTTGGAACCAACTCCACAGCATTTAATAACAAGCTAACCACAAGGTCAGCAGTTCAAACCCACCAGTCACTGCTTGGAAACCCTATACAGGGTCATTATGAGTGGAAACTGACTTGTCGACACTTAACAACAACAATAATACTCTTAAAAGAAGCAGATAACCTCATTTTTCTTCCAAGAAGCAGCTGGTGGGTTCAAACCACTGGCCTTTCAGTTAGCAAGTGAACATGTAACTACTGTGTCACCTGGGTTCCCTTTTGATGTTTTACATATTTATAAAATTAAATTCATAAGGGTAGGAGGATTTTGGAATCCTGGTGTAGTGCTGTAGGATAAGCACTGGACTGTTAACCAAAAGGTCAGCAGCTCAAATCGATTTAATGGCATATAACAACAATGAGGAGGATCCTAAAACTGAATACAAAGAGAAACAAGTGAACTTAATCATGTGTCAGATAACAAAAAATATGCATATTTTTCTCAGAGAAGGAAAGGAAAATTATTTCAAGTAGCTTCTGAACATAGTACTTTGACTATCCACCTCAGTAGGATACAGTTCAAGGACAAAAATAACTGCATTGGTAGTGGTGCTGGTACAGCAATTGCAAAACTTTTCTGTGCATATTACCCAACCCACTGCCAATGAGTAGATTCTGACCCATTAACAACCCTATGAGGGCAGAGGAGAACTACTATCTGGGGTTTCTGAGGCTATAAATCTTTATGGGAACAGGTACACACTGCAGTGTTAACTAAATAAAGTACAAAAATGTTTTTGAGAATCAGGCTTTTTACTGAAGAGAAAGCACATACAAAGATGAAATGGAATAAGGATTAGAACTGGTGTCAGTATAAGTCATGACTTAAAAATTTTTATCCTTAGGCATTAGTAGCAAAAGACAATGAATAAAAAGGGTTTTTGATATGATCACTAGTATTACCCAGAAAGTTGCAAACGTGTTCCTTTTTCACAATACAGGTTATTTCAGTCTGGAAATGCTTCTTCTAATGCTCAGTTATTTGCATTAGCTGTGTGATCTGGGGTGACGTACTGCAATTCTTTACTTTCTCTTCTGCATATTAAAGACTGTCCTAAGGATTCAAGTAGACAACGTGCCTAGCTTGCAGTAAATGCTGATTCCTTGAACTATGACTATTTTTACTTCTGTTTCTTTGTTCTAGTTTTCAGGGATATTGACTATTGTTATCTTAGTTCTGTTCTCTATCTTAGTTCTTTCAACAATTATCTTTTCTTCAAGGCTGCATACCATCACAGATTTTTGCCCTTACTTAACAATAGTATTTTCTATTGCATTTTTCATCTCAGCTTATCCTTTCCTTTGGCATTTTGTTTCATAGTTTCCATTTTTCCTTTGACTTTTTACTCATATTTCATAAAGACATCAATCAAATTCTCATGAATTACTGAGCATTTTTCAGTAGACCCTTCTAGTCTTCATTCTTCTTATATCCTTAATGTACAAAATTCACTCAGAGTCACTGTTATATTTCTTAGGTCTTCTTTATTTATTTATTTCTCCTAAAATTTAAGGAATGGTATATCCAGATCCAGTGTTTGTTAGCAGACAAGGAAACAACTGGTTCTTGATCCTACTCTCAACTTATTTGTGTGATGGCCAAAACACCTCATCTATCTACAACTAGGAAACAAATTGATACATACCAAATTTAACTCCCAGTTTTTTGAAGGCATTTACTCACTGCAATGCTGATATAGCCACATTTAAGCTTTCCCTTCCTCAGAGATTATCATAACTAAGGATACATGTGAAATGCTGATTTCTAGCATGTTCTGCAGATAAGACTACCTACCTATCATACTCTACTTGTATGAGCCATGCCTGTACTTTAATGTGCCATAATGCCATCTATACTCTGCCTGCCTAACAGGGGCCTGGTATAAATAAATAGAGAAAAATTGGGGAGGGGAGAGGTGAGAAGACAGAGACCATTCTAGCCCGTGAAATTGCATCAAGTGATGTTCTGACCAGCCACTGGTTTATGTAGGCTTTAGTTCACTGAGCCAGAAAAATGACAATGAGCTGTAAGTAATGATTCATTGCCTTTCACCAAGTCTTTTTTGTTGCCACAAGGATCTGCTCTTAAAATCAATGAAGATTTCCTGAGTTCCTAGCCACTCTTTTTTTTTTTTAATGTTTTTATTGTGAATTATGTGATAGTTTACATGGGAAAACATTAGATTTACATTCATCCTATCGTATATAGTTTCATTGACAGGGTTACAATCGCCTCCATGCGTCATCAACCAACCTCCTACCTCCCCACCCCCACCCCTCAGCACACAGTCCTTCTCTCTCTCTGGCCTAGCAATTCTTGTTGCTACTTTTTGCATCTTCATAGATATTTTAGTAGGAGATTGGGGAAACTGCACTGAGGGTAGCTAACCAGCACCATGCTAAACTGCAAGCGACTTGGTTCTTTGCACTCCTGATCTTGATTAATGTAGTCATGATACTCAGTTTTCTAAAGGAAATATTTGGGATTCACCACTAATTTCCTTCTTTAATTTTTTATCATTAGATATCCCCCAGAGTGAACAGAGAGAGCCTTACCCTAGAGTTCGAATTCAGACTTCTAGCCTCCTAAATAAACTATGAGAATATAAATTTTGGTTCATTAAAGTCACCCACTTGTGGTGTTTTGCTATAACAACACTATGAAATGAAAACAGTGACCTTTATCCAATCTATCCCAAATGTTATTCCTTGTCTAAAATTTCAAAGTACCTATTTAGAATAAGGCATTTTAAAAGTCTTCATTGTAGGGGATAGATGAGTACATGGGTGTAGCTTTATTTTCTATAATTTTGGGTAAGTATAAAAATTTTCATTTAAAAATTTAAAAAAAACCCTTAGATGACAGGCTATTTTAGTAATAATTATACCTATTGTTTTTGTTGTTAAGTGCCCATCAAGTCAGTTCAGACTCAGCGACCCTGCATAGGGTTTCTGATGGGTTTGATCTGCCGACCTTGGGGTTGCAGTCCAGTATTGATCCTACAGTGTCACACCACATGTCCTATATTTTTATGCAAATTATACACTTCTATGTTTGCTTGCCAACTGCTTTTTTTCCCCCCCAAGCTTAGGAGGCATTTACATAAATGCACTATGCTAAAAAAAATGTTTACAGTGATTATGTTAAAAAATTGCATAATGTCTATTATGAAAATATCTGAGGGAGAAAGAGAGCATTGGCAAACAAATGTAGAAGGTTTGTTATTAGCAAAAATACAGTAGTCTTCAGTTAGGCTATTTCCAGGCTTGCTTTTCTCTGATTTTGGAGGAAAACACTGTATCAATTTGGTATATTTTTCAATTTTTAGACATTAATATAGTGATGCAGGAAATGTTAACTATAGTCTTCATGTCTAAAGATATATGACCATACCTTGAATAAAGAGTTATTTTTATTGAAATTACTAATATGTTTGTGGGAAACATTATGCTCTAGTTTTGAATTTTCTTTTCTTTTCAACTGCAGATGTACCTCCTTTTGCCCACTTCCCCTGGTCCTGGTCTCAAACGAATTCCTTCATCTTCCTCTGTAAAACACCATTTTTAAATGACTATTTGATAGTTTTGCACATCAGGGGCTTGCCTCAGTACACAAGTTATATGGGGTAGGCCCAGGGTCTGTGTAATCCCTTATACAACCTCAAGAACAATACTGTGTATCAGGAGATACTTGAGAACTATTGAGAAAAGTTCTCAAATATCTCCTGCACAAACGCTTGTCAGAGGAAATTTATTTTGCTTCAGTTCTCCAGCAGATGTCACTAGACAGTAGTATGAAAGTGTACAAAATGACAACAAAACAGATTATAAAGTACAATTTTTTCTTTCCAAATTCTAATTGCTGCTTCCTTCACCCAGAAATGAGAATCATTAAAAATGTGCTTACGAAAAGAATCCTTTCATTTCTACAAAAATATATAAATAAGCACAATTGATCAGAAAATTTTTTCCATTAAAATTTTCAATAGGTTAAAAATTGTGAAAGTTTACTCAAATTTATTTATTTTTAATCTAGACCATGGTAGATAAATGAACAAAATTATCAAATCAGTCCCAAAGAAGAAAATACACTTATCCCAAATTTAGAAAACATTCATTTTTGTTAATGATCAAAGGAATGCCAAATGAAACCATCTGAATCACTTAGTCCTATTACATCTACTAAATTAATATGGCTTTCATATCAGTGAGATGGTGGTAGAAAAAGATGTCTTTCTCCCCGAGACCTATTCTGTAGATAGTCTCAGAAAACAACACACAGAAAAAGCCAAGGCAATGCTTACCTGGTCTCTGACCATAGAATTTCATTTTCAAGACTTTAAACTGAGAAAATAATTCTAGTGGCTCAAAAAGGTGTATGAAAGGAATTAATGGGCAAGATAATCTAAAATAGAAAAACAGATGGGCAAGGCAGGGAGCAAAAGGCCCAGTACAGAGAAATAATGATAAGATATATAAAGCATCTTTTAGAAACCACAGTATGAATGTGAAAAAAATATGCATGGCATAGATGCAAAGAGACAAACCACACTAGTTACAGCAATATAAAAATATGCACATATATACATAAAGAACCCTGGTAGCATAGTGGATTATGAGTTGGGCTGCTAACTGCAAGTTAAGCAATTTGAATGTAATAAGCCACTCCTCCATTTGAGAAGATGAGGCTTTCTATTCCTGTAAAGATTTACAGCCTTGGAAATTCTATACAGGATAACTACGAGTTGAAACAAACTCCATGGCACATCCCTACCACCACCATATATATATATGTAAAATATAAAAATGAAAATCAAATGTAAGAATGATAGGTAATTTTACTTTTAGCTTAATGTTCTGTAATGCGGTAAACATATCTATTTTTCTTTTCATAGATCAGTTTATTTTTATTTTAAAGATAATCTTACCTCATTTTAGTAGTATGTAATGGACGAGAATACATACCTGATACCCGCCTATTAAATCTGCTAGGAGCTGGAACTGCAAAATAAAAATGAAGTAACAGTTAGTGATCATTATGTCACATGACCCCATTTTTACCCTCCCTTTTACAAAGATCTCTGACAATAGAATTAAACACCTTAATACCATGTAGTGGGTCAGTTCATACTCAACCATAAGTAGTTGCTCAGTGATCATATAAAGGCAATAAAATATCTTACTGAAAATAGAGTATCCATAACTTCAACACAAAATGGCATGTTTATTTCTGTTCACATCCAGGTTCCATCTAATTTTTATCATACCAAGTAAGCAAAATAAAAATGTATTGTAATTATAGGATAAAAAGTAGCAAATTTTACTTCTTTAATATCTTTAAAGATAATCTCCAGATCTCATGCAAATTTCATTTAAAATCATTTAATGAGTATTACTAAAATGGAGTCTTGGTGTGGTGCTGTAGGATAAAGCACTTGACTACAAGGTTAGGTTAGTGATTCAAACTTACCAGCTGCTCCTTGGAAACCTTATACAAGGTCACTATCAGTCAGAACTGACTTGAGGGCACTCAACAGCAACAACTAAAATGGAAGTCTCTGAATGGTGCAAATGATTAACTAAGCTGCTAATTAAAAGGCACCCTGAGGCACCTCAGAAGAAAGACCTGAAGATCTACTTACCAAAAATTCAGCCACTGAAAACTCTATGGGGCACAACTCTACTCTGACACACATGGGGTCACCATGCATAGAATTTGTTAGCAACTGTTACAGTATGGTATATTAAAATGTAAAATAAATTAACCATTAAGTTATAGCTCCCTTTGTGGGTGGGTTTTCTCCTACTCATGGTCAGTATAATAGTCAGAAAAAGAAGTCAAGCATTTTTACATTAAAAATAACTTTCTTCTTCATGAGGTTTTTTTTTTGCACTTTTCACATATCATGTGTGTATTTGATGGTTATCTAAATTCTAATTTACTGAATAGTATCATCTGAATACAGTTTTACCTTTATAAGTATTGAATATTTCTGTTTTTTAAAAAAATACATAAAATGTGCCTTGCTATTCCCTAAAAAGGAACTTGAGAATTCGTGCAAAATTGAAGATGGTTCATACTGCCAAACTCATTAAAAGGCCTCTGAAGCAAAAACAGGCCCAGGAAGGAGGTAAATGCTCACTTAGCTGAATAAAACTAGAATCATCTTGTTGCATCAAATACAGCCAAAGTCTTACATTAGAACAAACAGGCAACAATTCAAAAGAAAACCATAGTTATTACTAGTAGAAAGGGAAGTCTATTTCTTACTCACTCCTTTCCCAGTGAAAAAGTGGTTGTTGTCATTGTATGCCATTCAAGTCAATTTTGACTCAGTGATTCTATAGAACAGAGAACTGCTACACAGGGTTATCCTACAGATTGCGAGATCTTTCTCCAGCAGAATGACTGGTTGATTTTAACTACAGACCTTTCAGTTAAAAGCAAGTTGACTATCGCATTTTCAGGATCCTTAGTAAAAGGGTAGATTAGGCAAAATAAGCTATTAACAGCAAAGAAAGACAATAAATTCAGTTCAACAAATAGTTGTTGTTTTGTTGTTTTTTTTTCAGTGTTAAAATCTATCTCTTGGTTAAGAGAAAAAAGAGGAGTCTAAAATCCAAGTACAGACATATCTAGGACCCTTGTCCTTTTGGATCCACACTCCCTTCAGGGTTTTCATCATTATAAATGTTCTCTGCCATCTGCCACATTTGCACAATATATCTTTTTTTTTTTGCATTAAAACAAAACTTGTTATTGTAAATTGGGTGAAAGTTTTTGGAGCAGATCAGTTCTCCATTCCTCAATTCATGTACATTTTGCCCATCTCAATATTGCATTCCTTTCCATGTAATATCACACATCTCACTTCCTTCTTCCTTGTGTTTCCTGATTCCTTTCCTCCTTCCTTCCTAACCCTTCCAAACTTTGTCTGTGGATAAATGCTGTCCTTTTGATCTAAGTGGTTGATTAGCTTAAGGTGTGTGCACCTTTCTAGTGTTATTGTTCCCCTTAGAGACCTGTCTATTGTTTGGCTGAAAACTGAGGCATGGGGGGTGAGTTCAGTTCCAGACCTGAAAACTAAGCTCTTTTGTATTTCTATTAACTTCAGCATTCAAATTTGTATTTTATATAGCTTATGATCCCAGTATTTTTAAAGTAATTATCCAGTGTCTGATAGATAGGACCTGTCATGTATCTCCAAGGAAGCCAGCCTACCTTCATAACAGGTATCAGGGTTTGGGAGCTGTGATCTTCCCACATAGGTAGCCATTCAGTCTCATTTGCATAGAAACAAAACCATGCAAAATAGCTGGACCTGTAACTACTTGCATGGCAGGTCATGGAAAGTCTTAGTATCCTTCTCTTGTCTCTTCCAGTGGGTGGCTGGATCTTTTCCAATCCAGATGGAATGTGCACAGCAGAAAATGCTAGTTACCAGTATGCAGCTCCCTTATCTCTGCCTGCTTCCCATTCCCACCATGGCTGTGAGCACTATCCTGGCCTCAGGGGACACCAGCAGGCTTCCTATTCTTCAGCCTACTGGCACAGAAACCACTCTCCCACAGGTTTGTGATTCTGCTAACTAAACCCCTGGGGGCATGGCACAATATATCTTCTGATACAGAACAAATCACCCAAGTTTCATTGGGATTCCAGGAGAAATCAGATTATCTTGGCAGTGTGACCACCATGAATAAACAATAATTCTAGTGGCCCATCTTCTGGGGATTATTCTTCTCCAATTTTACTTATAACCCAGATATTCAGCCTACGATCAGTTCCACTGGAAGCCAAAACAGTTTCATTGTGAGGTGACCACTGAACCTGGAATATTTCGTCCCTATGTGATTCAAAGGAATGCAACTCTTCAGTTTCAGACTTCTTAGATCCCACAAAGCAACAGTCTTGTCAGCTGATCCTATGGCAAAAATGAATTCACTGTAAGGGTAGAAAGAAGGGCAGTTCACTTCAGCAGTGTGAGCATCAACTGAGTGACTTGATTTGGAAGTATTATTTGAATGAGTATCCCAGATCATAAGTTTCTGATCATCAGCAACTGACCCAAATAGAGACTCATGAAGCAGAGAAACATCTTCAATTACTGCTGTGTGTCCAGGAAAAGATGGTCTTGCATCCACCACTTTTCCTTGGAACAGCACTGATGTCCCATAGGCAGATGGTATGGTCATCTGAAGCACTAAGCAAGTGCCCATTGAGAATGGGATTCCAAGATAGCCCATAGCCTTCCTTTTGATATCCACGGAGACGCAGATCTGGATTGCACTCTCCAGAAGGGTCTGGTTTAGAAGGGTGTTTCGTGTAGTCAAACACAAGAACATCACTGGATGAAGTCTTTGTTGAAATAATGCAAGGGTTCTGGGGCATATAATTGGCCCTGTTTACTTCTCCTTCATGGTTGATCTTGATTTCTATTTCAATCTTTCCACTAACTGAGCCAAAACCTCTGAATTCTCCTTTCTCACTGTCATAGTGTGATGCATCAAAGTGAACATCATCATTCGGGAGCTGCACCCTGGCTATCTTAAGGTGGTTTTGTTCATCTTATGTGTGTGTTACCAGAACAAGTCGATGAAAGCTGAAGTCTTTCCCTTCTGGTCTGGTTACATCTGGAAGCCACTGTGCAGTTAGGTTGGGCCACTCAAGGGCATGGGTCATGACCAAATCATAAAGAAAAAGGGTGTTCTTTTTCCATATTTTATACTCCTCATTAATCACCTGTTCTTCCACGGTGTCATCAAAGGCTGCTTCCTTGTCAGCCATGGTGGGCAGGCGGGCACGATAGCTGGGAGGGAGCCCAGAGTCAAACATTGCAGGAGGGTCAGGGAGGCAGCGGGCCAACAAATAGATTTTAAATGACTAATACAAGGGGCTTCAAAAATTTCAGGGAAGGGTTCCATTATTTTGTCATTCCATTTCCCCGTGAACTTTTAAAAACTTTCTCGTATGTGCTAATGCACCCTTCTAGACAGTTTGGTAGACATCAAGGAAAAAAAACAGAGACCTCTAATTTCATAAAGTTGACATTTAGACTGAGGGAAGTGGGAGAGATTGAGACATAAATGTCAGTCCTCAACCATGTGAAATGTACATTAGCTTAAATAAATCTTCAACCTCAGTTCAAGGATTTTCATAGCTAAGGCCCTACATAACAAAAGTGGACAACCCAAAATTTACAAAACACATTATGAAATGATTTGTTACTGTTGTTAAGTGCTGTTGAGTTGGTACCAACTTACAGTGACCTTAGGCACAACAGAACAAAACACTGCCTGGTTCTATACCAATCTCACAATCGTCGTTACACTTGAGCCTCTTGCAGCTGCTACTGTGCCTATCTAACTTGTTGGGGGTGTTCCACTTTACCAAGCATGAAGCCCTTCCCCAGGAACTGGTCCCCCCTGATAATATGACATCCAAAGTATGAGACACAAAGTTTCACCTTGCTGGCTTCCAAGAAGAATTCTGGTTGTACTTTTTCCAACACAGATTTGTATGTTCTTCTGGCCATCCATGGTACTTTTAATATTCTCCTCCAAGATGCATCAATTCTGCTAGTCTTCCTTATTCACTATCCAACTTTCACTTGCATATAAGACTATTGAAAATACCATGATTTGGGTCAGGCTCACCTTAGTCCTCAAACTAACATCTTTGCTCTTGAATACTAAAGAGGTTTTGAGCAGCAGATCTGCCTAATGCAATATGTTGTTTGATTTCCTGACAGCTGCTTTCATAAGCGTTGATAGTTGATCCAAGTAAAATGAAGTCTTTGACAATTTCAATCTTTTCTCCTTTAATTTGATGTTATTTAGTGGCCAGTGTAAGGATTTTTGTTTTCTTTACATTGAGATACAACCTATACCTGTGGTCTTTGATCATCATCAGTAAGTATTTTAAATCATCATTTTCAGCAAGCCAGGTTATATCAGCTACATATTGCAGGTTGTTAAGTTTTCCTCCAATCCTAACGCCA